TAGTAACAAGTGCCACGCTTCTAGTAACAAGTGCCTTACTAGTAGTAGCAAGAAGCAAGTAGTAACAAGTGCCACGCTTCTAGTAACAAGTGCCTTACTAGTAGTAGCAAGAAGCAAGTAGTAACAAGTGCCATGTTGTTCTCTTTTTATATGCCTTGCTAGTAGGTTGGAGGCCATTTCTGCTTGGGTGGAGGCCATTGCTAGTTTTAGATGTGCTTCCCGCTCTTTTCGCGGGGTCTTTGGCTCAAGATCAACACGACAGAGGAGTGGTGGGCAGCAAGCTCAGATGATTTTTGAGCGGATTAGAGCAGACAGTTGTGGCTCAGCCGGAATAAAACAAGAAAAAACAAGTAGCGATGGCCTCCACCCTTCTAATGATGGCCTCAAGAAAGCAAGAAAATGAGCTTGTTCATGTCATGTGGAAGTGTGTTTGTGTTTTTCATTCTTGACAACGTTCAAATGTATTCTTTTCCGCCTGAAGAGAAGAAGGTTCTAACACTTATTATACTTCAAAGGATGGATTCAATAATTTGAGAGACCAATTGAGGCCCACCATTGAACAAACACATTAAAACCGATTTGCAAATGAATTCCCGCAGATGTGTGTTCTTTGGGCTGATGTTTGAGAAAACAAAGCACAAAAAGGAGTTCGCTTTGAGAAACGAAAAAGGACATCGATGGGGCGATGGTGTGTCGTATGAGTTGCACTTTTTGAGGCCCAAGATGTTAGGCCTGGCCGACCCAAAGCGGAAAGAGATGTTCTCGAACTCAAGACTCAATGTACTCTATCTCTTACTTACGCTACTAGGGGCTCCTGGCCTTACTACTAGTAACAAGAAGCTATTAGGGGCTCCTGGCATCGCTACTAGGAGCAAGGACGTTACTAGGGGCTCAAGGCAGAAGTTTAACATGCAGGTGCAAGTGCAGCTGGCGCCAACAAAGCGAAGATCATATGTTCGGGACTGAAACTGGACTGAAGAAGTAAGTGCACAAAAGAGGAGCAAGGACGCTACGAACGGCGCTCCTGGCCTTACTACTAGGAGCAAGAAGCTATTAGGTTGGAGGCCATCGCTGAAGGAGTGCAGGGAAAGGTCGTGCACGAGCTTCGCATTCTTCCGTCCACCGAGGTCAGCAATGTTTGGCTCCAGGTCATTGGACCTATGAGTGCAAAAACGGGAGCACTTATCAGGTGCATCGCTAGTAGTAACAAGTGCCTTACTAGTAGTAACAAGAAGCTATTAGAAAGGAAGAAATTAAGTGTATTTGATTGTATTGGTACCATCGCTATTAGGTTGGAGGCCATCGCTAGTAGGTTGGAGACATATTTGTTTTATCTAAACTATAGACACCCAGAGCTCTTAACGGTGTCATTTCTTCATTCGGACAGTGTGGCTGGTTTGAAGCTTGGTACTTTCTTTCAGTCAGTTCACGCTTCAAGACTGGTGTTGATGTTTGATGTCGATATTTCGTGCTTCACCCTTTTGTTGTTTTGAGCAAGCTATTAGTTACTGAAAGCTTCCTTGAAGAAGTGTGAGCTATCCTGCGTCCAGTTACTAGAAGCTAACTTAGCCTAGTAGCGAACTAGCCGCCATTAACTACTCAATTAAGTAGGGAGGCAGGCTTAAAGAGGAAAAGCCGTTTAAAACGAACAATGAATAGTAAAGAGAATAAGAGGAAGAACAATTTCAACACAAAACGTTAGACTGAAACCAGTCGCATCTTCCCGACGCAGGTCCGCGCTTCAGCCAGCCGACAGTTGCGGCAGAAGCGATTCAAACAAGCCTTCCTAGAAGAGGAGGAGCGACGTTTACGACGTTTACGACGTTGCTTTTTTAAGCGCGATGACCAACCTAATAGCGATGGCCTAACAAATACTGTCGTCCAAAAGCATTTCAAAACCTGTACGAAAGAGACTGCCAGGCACCTGCCGTGCCTCACAATGCATTTCTAGGCAGGGGGCTTGATAAAATTGGGTTCGCTACTAGGAACAAGTGCCACGCTAGTAGTAACAGGTGCCTTACTAGTAGTAACAAGGTTCGCTACTAGTAATTTACTTTAAATTTAATTCTAATAGCTTCTTGTTTGTGTTTGTGTCAATCTACATGCCTTGTCGCATAGTGGTGGCCTCCCTAGAAGCGATGGCCTCCAACCTAATTGCGAGTGGATTTGCCCAAATCTACCGATTAAAATAAAATAAATCTAAATTAAATTAATAGCTTCTTGTTACTACTAGTAAGGCACCTGTTACTACTAGCAAGGCACCTAATTGCTTTCATGGTTTAGTCTTGTGATGCCATGGTGCCAGCGCTATGCTTTACACCGGCAGGCGATGATCGAATGCGCTTTGGTCCCAGGAATTCTGAATGAGATTGCGAAACGCAAGGGCAGCAATGCCATGCGCACTTCTGTGTCCGATGTCCAAAAGAGCTACAGTTGCGTTTCAGCAGGAAAGAAGCTACTGAGCCCCCAGAGAAGAAGCAAAAAGCTGAAAAGGCCTCGCACCGTGAACCAGCATTTGTTTTGCATTTGTCTTTCAGAGCATGTTCAAGGATGAGAAGGAAAAGAAGAAGAAGAAGAAGAAAAAGGAGTCAGATACTTGGTGCCGATGCAACCTTTCTCGAAAACGTGCCCCGACGCAAGTCTAGATAACGTCGGCTCGCCCAGATCATCCTCAAGCTCTAGTGATTCGAGCGATAGTTCGGACAGCAGCTCCGACAGCTAGAGATAAAATGGCGACAGCTGTGAGTAGAGTGAACGCCTTCTTTGTGCCATGTTTTTCTGAAAACAAAGACCTTCTGATGTCCAAAGAAGCTACTAAGAGCAAAGGGCATCAACCCTTGGCCTGAACATACCCTAACAGTGTTTCTCACAGGCGCCACAACCTGAAGCTTGAGTGGCTCAGGCTTTTGGCTTTGTCCTCGCCCGTGCAAAGCGCACGCATCATGGATATTTACGCGCTTTACGCCGCTTTCATGAACAACACATCAGCGGCGAGAGATGAGCCTGAATTCAACGAGGTGGTGCAGGAGTGTCAATTTATCTTGGGGCTGGTGATGATCTTCGCGACGCCCTTCGTATGGTTCTTTCTGGCTTGCTGTTGTCCCAATCCTTACGGCGCGCCCAACGAGAGGGTGCGGAGCGGAGAGCTTCGGAAGAGCGTTTGGACATGTTGGGAACAGGTGGGCACGTTCCTGTTCTTGTTCAGTTTGGCAAAGGTGTCTTCAGGTGCGGCCTTGACGTTTTCATTGACATACAGTCTTGCACGGTCTTTGATGGACCTAGCCTATTCCTATGTCTACTACCGCAAGTTTGGGCTACGCGGTGTCCCAACAAAAGTCAGTCCAACCTCTGCTTACACGGACATGCATTCTGGCAGCATTGCGAAAGCTTTGGCCGCGTTCTCCCTCCAGGCTACACTGTACGCTGTCGTCTTTTGGGCAGCAGCTGAGCAAGAGACGGTGGCCACTGAAAAACAAATATTGTTCTATGTGCTGGGTGCCTTCATTGCTTCAGTGGTGCGGCTGTTCGAGCCAACATTCATCACGGGCGAGTTTGGGGAAGTATGGAAACCTTACCTCATGACTTTCCCCGCGTTCCGTCAGCCGAACGATTGTTATTGCGTTCGTTTCTTTCTTTCTTTCATTGTGAATGGCTGGCTGTCGCACGCGACGCTGTGTTTGATCCCAGTCATCTTGATGAATTCTGAGACGGCAATCGACTTCGTCAAAGATTCAGTGGCTGTCCTCTTCATTGCAGAGCTGGACAGGATCAAGACGATGCTGGACTACCATCACGACATCCGTATTGATTCCAACTCTCCATATTGTCACAACCCTGTTGTCTATGGTGAAATTGACCCGGGTAGCACGCTCTTCGGGAAGCCGATCGCGGCGATCATGGATTTGGTCCCAAACCCAGTGGATTCAGCGCAACACCCCCACGGCATTCGAGGATGCGCTCAACACTCCCACAGCGGGCTTCCGGGCACAGAGCCTGTTCATTCGCATTCAATTCAACACGCACACGGCTGGGTTCCATGTTCAGTTCAAATCCATGCTGTTCCTCCACTGCCTCCTCCACCGCCTCCGAAAACGCCTCACCAAGTCCTTTATATCCTGCCGGCAAGCCCGGGGTTGGGGTTTGGGATGTGAATGGAAACTGTCCGTTTGCCGTCAAAGCTGGCGTTATATCGAATATTGATGTGGTCGGCAAAGCCGACAATTATCAATAATAAACATCTGTTTAAAAATGCAACATATTAACAAAAAACGTAAAACACAATTACTATTTGCGTTGCATTTTCAATACATATCATACCATTGTATATAGCATAGTTAGCATCATGAGACCACTGCGCAGCCCCTTTTGCATCAAGGAAAAAGTTCGCATGGTAGCGGAGCAAGGATAAGGGTAACCCCCTTTGAGCTCCAAAGAGAAAAGCCCCTAGGTCACTGGGATCCCGGGAGCGATTTCGAGCCGATTTGGGGCCCTTGGAACCCAAACAGCTGGACTGGTGGAGAATTGTTGTGAGCGGCACTCTGTACCCCGTACATTGTGTCACAAAACCATTAGTGCGCAGGAAAAATGGATGAGATCAGGGAAATCCTCACAGTGATAGCAGAGGGCGCGCAAGCAACAACATCAGCAGCTGAGGCAGTGAAGAAAGCAGTTGAAGACAAGAAGTCATCAGGAACTGATTGGTCACAGTTTTACTGATTGGTCACAGTTTTTAGCAAAGCCCAACATCTTTGACTATAAGTCACGAGAAGAAGAGATCAAGGCATCAAGAAAAAGAGAAGAAGAAGAGATCATGCGTATTTGAGAAATACTTGAGTGCAGCTGATGAGGCTTACATGAAAGACTTGAAAGAGATTCATGACAAACCAAATTTGACATGGACTTGGCAACCTCAGAGGAGAAGACCAGGTGCATCAAACTCTATGGATTGTTGGCTTCATTGATGAGGGAGTACTGCAATTGGTGAAAGCTGTGGAGGACTCCAATGGGTTTGATGAGACGGTCAAGGCAGGGACGGCTATGCAAGAAGAGTTGAAATCTGCTATTCTTTTGAGATGTGTAGGTGGGCAACTCAAGTCATACTTGAGTTTGACAATTGGCAACAATGTTCAGCAATCAAAAACTTTGAGGGCACAAGTGTTGCAGTGGGATCGATCTCAGCAGAAATGGGCTACTTCGATAGTAGCAACAGATTAGCAAGGACCCATGCCAATGGACAATGATCGAGTCCAAGATGCCAAAGGCAAAGGTAAGAAGGGCAAGAATGACCATCAGAAAGGTAAAGGCAAAGGTAAAGACGCAAAAGGCAAAGGGAAGAAAGGGAAAGGAGATCAGAAAGGAAAAGAAGGTGATCACAAGGGTAAAGGCAAAGGAAGAGACCAGAAAGGTAAAGGTGTGGCAACATGGTAAATACACTTGTGGAAAGCTAGGACATCTTGTTCGAGACTGTTGGAGGAACAATATTCAACAGGTGCAAATGATCCAACCCATTCATCTTCGAGAGGAGCATCAGTGACTCCTCATACAGTTGGTCCAACAAGCCAATGTTAGCCAGCAGCGTAGTTCAGCACTGAGACCAAACCAGCTTGAGAACAGCGAGCCAATCATCTTTGATGTGCGAGAGAAGGATGATGAAATAGAAGACCATTGAAATCAAGTGATTCACTTCTACATTGGAGATGATGACGGTGACGATGATGATGATGACGATGATGATGCTGATGAGCCAGAGATCCGAGTGTTTGAGGAGATTGATATCTCGGACGATGAACCAATGGTGCGGAGACTTGGGGGAGAGATTGAGGATGTGGCCATCATTATTGACAGTGGAGCTGATGTAGCATTGTCCCTTTGGCTATGGCAGATTATGGTGAACGTGAATTAGAATTCAGCACAAGGACCAAATTACAAACCATACACCCACCGGGGGTGCGAAAAGTGTTGAAATGTCTTTGCGTGACGTTGATGGACGTGAAGTCCTGCTCAAAGAGAATGTGATCTTCAGTTCAAAGGTAAATCAGCCCATACTATGCTATCGAAGGCTGATGGAACAAGGTTGGAGGATCAATGGTCGAGAGCAAATCTTGGAGAACGGTGACTTGAAGGTGCCACTCAACTTGCAAAACCGCTCTTTGACCGTTCAAGGTCGCATCAGAGTTATTCGACATGAAGGTGAAAGCTGCATGGAAGCGCAAGCACCTGAAGCTTTGGAAAAGGGAGCAGGTTGGAAGTTTATTGACTTCAAGATTTGTGGATCGGAAGGTTCACTTGATGAGAACCACTTTGGTGAGAAGAGGATGTAGATGGCTAATGCCTGAATATTGTGACAGCATGATGAAAAAGGATGAACTTGATTGGCATTTCACTGATGATGATGATGATGATGATGATGATGCAGTCATTCCTTCAATCGCAATCTTCAGCTATGAGCCAGCACAACCAGAAGACATTGGACTTTTCGCACTAGGGTATAAGAAACTTCAGAACAAGAGAGAAAGAAAGAGCTGGGACAGGCATTTGAAAAGATTAGGATGTCGAAGACAAGAAAGAAGAAGACAGTTACAAATGAGCCCAATGGATGTAGACAAGCAATTCAGGCAAGGCACAGGTTGACACACATGCCATATGCCACTTGGTGTGAGGAGTGCATTGAGCATCGAGCGCGTCCAGACCGCCATGAGAGAACAGATTGAGTAAAGAGAGGAACATACCTGGGGTAAACTTGGATTTTAGCTACACTAGAGCAAGAGATTCAGTGACAAAGTCAGCTAAGAGCAGTATGTTGGTTAGTTGCAATCGACAGCCAAACTGGATACATTTATGTTGTGCCCTTGGGAAGCAAGAATCAATTTCGTCTTATTGCGTGAGAGTTGATGGATTTCAGTCGTTTGTTGCGGTATTCAGCAATCACCTATACAAATCCTCAAGCTGCTGGCCAATGCTCGACGCATCCTAGGAATGACAACCAAATTGATTACTTCAAAGCTTGGAGATCATTCATTTCTGTCAGAGAACACAGTTGACTGTTGACAGAGTGAGAAAGCTTGCAGGAAGTTTCATTGAAGGTGCGCAATCAAGGCTAGGTATCAAGATAGGATCAGATCATGCACTTTGGACCTGGGCAGCGGGACATGCCAGTTGGGTGTTGAATAGATTTCAACGAGCGAAGGGTGAAACCCCATATGAATATGGCAAGAGCTACAAAGGACTGCTAGCTAAGTATGGTGAACCAGTTCATGGCTACATCAAGAGTCTCAACAAAGGAGAACCAAGATGGCGCCTATGCTTGTTCTTGGGAAAAGTCGAAAGGCAAGACACCTATGTACTTACAGGTGGTGCGCAGGTAGTTCTTAGCAAGTGTGTCAGAAGTCCAAATACTTGCCAATCTACAAAAGCTTCAATGCCTACTCATGGGAACATCAGACAAACGCCGGGGGCTGCACCATTGCCACCAAAAGGAGAGCAGAAGCATTGCCAGCAGCATAGACAGACGCCTCGAGAACATGTGATGGTGAAGTTCAAGGACGAGGACGCAGAAGCAGTAAAGGCAAAGGCTTTGGAAGGAGGAAGTGATTCAGAGAAGAAATTCCTGTGGAGGCAATGAAGAGAGATGGAGGTGAAAGGAAGAGTAGAGAAGAAACTCCAAGTAAGAAGCAGAAAGTTCTCTTTGCAGACAAGAAGACACTTGAGAATGCCAAGGCATTT